ACTCGTCTCTGACTACATCAGGTCTCAAAGTCCTGAGAATGTGATTGATGTTCAGAGATCAACACAGAAAAGAAACAAGCCAGGGGTGGTAGCGTATGCCTATGATTCCAGCTACTCAGGCAGGAAGATTGCAAGTTCAAGGCCAGCCTTCCCAGTTTAGTGACATCCTGTCTCAAAATAGAAGTTTTAGCTGGGCATAGTGGCATACACCTGTAATCCTAGGACTTGGGAGGCAAAAAATAAAATAAAAAGTTTGTTTATTTATTTATTTATTTATTTATTTATTTATTTTGACATTGGGCCTCGCTATGTAGTTCAGGCTGGCCTTGAACTCACAGCAATCCTCATGCCCCAGCCTCCAGAGTGCTGGGACTACAGGAGCATGCCACCAGGCCTGGCAAATAAAAATTTCAAAAGGACTAGGTCTGTGTTTCTCCCATCCCTACCCCACTTCCAATAAACAAAGGGCTGACGGTGTGGCTAGGGTACCCCCTTTCCTGGGAAAGGATCCGAGGTCTCTGGGAGCCATTATCCTGCCTGCCTGCAAAGAGTGCATGGGTTTAGTGAATGGGGAATTTATGAATATGAAGGAGTCTTTGAAAGATCAAGGATGACTCAGGTTTGATGGCCTAAAGCAGCCAGAGGGACAAAGGTGCCATCCAGGGGAGAGGCCATTTTTGGGATGAAGGGAGGTTCAGGGAGAGACCAGAAACTCAGTGTGAGATGTGAATCAGATACCCAGGTGCTGCTGCTGGCTGGACCCGGAGATGAGTAGGAGCCAAAGCACAAAGGGGCAGACGGATGGGGCCCCGCTCTGGCTGGGGAGATGAGGGAAGAAACCCTGGGCCCAGGCAGCTAGCACCAGGGTGTAACTCAAAGGGTAGAGCGTTTGCCTAGCTTGTAGACCCTGGGTTCCATACTCAGTCTTGAAAAAATAAAAAGTAAATAGAAGTTAGGCGTGGTGGCACACTCTTGTAATCCTAGTACTTGGGAGGCTGAGGCAGGAAGGACCTCTAAGAGTGCAAACCAGCCTGGGCTACAGAACAAGACCCTGCCTCAAAAAACAAAACAAAATTTACCAATGAGGTTACTCTGCAGAATGCCGGTCCAGGGCGCACTCCCCTAGGGCAGTCCGGTCTCCCACACAGAAGCCGGGGTCCGCCAGGTGGCGCCAGTGTGCCTGCACCAGCTGACCTGGGCGCCATCTCTCCTGCGGGTCGAGGTTCCCACCATCGCTCACCAGCGTCCCGCTCGCTGGGTTTTCCAGGCCAGGGGGCACCGACTGGGGTCTCACTGTTGTCTGAGGTGCATCTTGAGCTCATCGTGAGCATTTCCTGATGCTCCGGCCCCCTCCGCACATTCATGGTCTGGCCCACTTTTCCCCCAGGGCTGTTGTCTTTCAGCATCAGTGTGCAGAAGTCCCTTGAGGCTCCCAAATTCTGGTCATCATCATGGATATTGTTTTCCCAGGGAGGCCATTAAACACACCTGGTTAGGGTGCTGGGCTGAGCATGAGCTCACTGCACCCAGCCCAGGTGTAGACTCTCCCATGTTTGTCACCTCGTCGTTCCAGGCCATAAATTGAAAGTGTCTCCTTCAAAATTCACAGTTGAGCTGAGTATAATGGCAAATGCCTGTGACCCTGGCCCTCAGGAGGCTGAAGCAGGATTATGAGTTCAAAAGACTGTCTTGAACACACCGAAAAAAAGTTTAAATTCTAATCATCAATGGGATGACTTTAAGTGGAGCCACTGGGAGGTGATTAAATCATGAGGGTTGAGCTCTCCCGAGGAAAGTTAGCACCCTTATAGAAGAACCTCAAGCCGGGTGAGTTACATGCCCGTGATTCCAGCTCTCTAGGAAACTGAGGCAAGAGAATTGCTATGAGTTCAAGGCCAGCCTGGGCTGCAAAGCAAGACCCTCCCTCTCAAAACAAAAAACAGAGCTCCCTGACTCCTCTGTCGCATGAGGACACAGCAAGAAGACAGCCATCTGTCAAGAGGAAGTTTCTGGGACCAGTGATTTGGCTCAGTGGTTCCACGGCCTGCCTCACAAGTGCAAGGTCCTGAGTTCGAGCCCCAGTACCCAAAAGGAAAAAAAAGGAAGTTTTTGAACCAGAAAGTGACCACAGGGAACTGCACACAGGTCAGTGGTAGAGGAAGCATTTACTTGACATGCTCAAGGCTCTGGTTTGACCCTCAGGGAGCAGAAAGGAAGAGGAGAGAGCCTGGCATAGTGGCACATGCCTGTAATCCCAGCATTCAGGAGGCTGAGGCAGGAGGATCACCATGAGTTTGAGGCCAACCTGGGCTGCATAGTGAGACACTGTCTCAAATAATTCCCCCCAAAATAATAATACTAAAATTTTAGGCCAGAGATTAAGCTCATGGTTCTGCTGCCTGCCTCACAAATGCAAGGTTCCGAGTTCAATCCCCGGTACCAAAAATAATAATTTTTTTTGCAATTTTAAATATTATATTTCAATTGATTACTGCAGTATCAACAGCACAATATTGAATTTTTGACAGGCTATTCTCATATCAACCATGATAGCTAAATTAGAAATTATAAGATAAAGTTGGGCCCTCAGCATAGAAAAACAATGGAGGCACATTCACTGGTTAACTTTATAAAAAGAGCAAAAGTACTACACTTCCCCTAGAGATGAACAGCAGTGATTGATATTCTAAAAAGACATCAATCTCCCTAGCCCCTTTCCTTTCCAGAAATTCTTGTATGTGACTTGTTTTCCCATTTGATCCCCATGTAATCAATATTACCTGGATGCCTGTACTTGGTTTTACTCGCTGTTTTTGTTTGTTTGGTTGGTTTTATGAGACAGGGTCTCACTATGTAGTTGAGACTGACCTGGAACTCACTATGTAGCCCAGGCTGGTCTCAGACTCACAGTGATCCTCCTGCCTCAGCCTCCCGAGTGCAGGATTATAGGCGTGCGCCACCATGCCCAGCTGTGTGCCTGACTTGTAATCTCACTGGTTGATCATGGTTTGGCCCCCCCTCATGTTCCATTGGGCCTTATAGTTTTGTCCCACTTTGTACTCAATCTCACTTCATGGCTTTGTCCTATAAATCATCTTTGACATGTGGGGTGGGCAACCAACTTTCCTGTCCCTGGTTCTGTCCGTCTTCGACAGATGCTATCTTTCTCTCAAATTTTTCTTACTCTCAGCCTCCATTGTTCCTATAATCCATTCTTCGATGTTACAGAACATGAACTTTCATATTGGATACCTAGCAAGTCGGGAGTTGTATTTCCTTATCTGGATTATTTTGCTTGTTTGGAATATATATAGTGTGTGTGTGGTACTGGCTTTCGAATTCAGGCCTTTTTACTTGCAAGGCAGGCAGTGGAACCACTGAGCCAAATCCCCAGCCTAATACTTCACAATTCTTTTTTTTTTTTTTTTTTTCCTGAGACAGGGTCTCACTATGTAGTTGAGCCTGACCTGGAACTCGCTCTGTAGCCCAGGCTGGTCTCAGACTCAGAGATCCTCCTGCCTCAGCCTCCCGAGTGCTGGAATAGATTATATCATTTTTGATTACTTGGTGCCCTATGTCAAACCCTTCGTTAAAAGCCTTCATGCTATTATTACAGCAAGTATTTTTAAGACATTTTAATCAAATGTGATTCCCAATCATATCAGCACAAACTGTTTTAGTATTTCTCATCCTGCTTAGCAAAGCTGCTGGTGTTGAGAGGAGGTAAAGATGGGCAAGAGCTTTGTGGCATCCAACCCTGGCCTGCTCTAGGAGCAGAAGTCCTCTCACCGGGGTGAGACAGCGGGCCTATCTGGGCCGAGTTGTTTAACAACTCACACAGCCAGGAGGGGCGCAGAGGCTCCTGCCTACAGGCGAGGCGGCCCCTTGAGGAAGTGGCCACCAGGGGGCGCGAACACTACCCACGTACCTACTGTGGGCCAGGTGCTGCTCTACAGGCGAGAACACAAGAATTAAGGATAAGGCGCTCAAAGCATCTCCGGAGACTGACATCTCAGTGACCGCGAGGATGAGGGAATTTGTGCGCTCCCGGCAGGGAAAGCTCGGGACCTGCAAGGGAACCCTGGGGCTGTGAGGAGAGGAAAGGAGGGAGACAAGGGACCAGGGCAGAGCATTGCTAACCCTAACCCGCACTTCCAAGGTGGGTTGTGAAATGAAAGAGACAAGATGTGCTCTGGGAGGCTGAGGCAGGAGGACCCCAAAAGTTTTAGTCCAGACTGGACAATTTAGTCTCTTAGTGAGACCCTATCTTAAGATTTTTTAAAAATGTTCAAAGGGCTGGAGATAAAGATCATGTGAGTCCCTGGGTTCAGAACCCAGGGGTGGGGTGGGATGTAAAATCTGCCACGTGGCACCAGAAGGCGGAATAGGACATAGATTCTTGCTAGCTTCCTGGGGTTTGCAGATACTGGAACCATGCCAAGAAATGCATAACAACCGTGACCTCTGGAGGGAAGAGGAACAGGGAAGGACATGGATGGAGACGGTGGGAGGGCAGTGTGATAACCGTCGCTGGCTGCCGTGTGGGTCACAGACCACAGGCCATGGGAGGAGGCAGGGCGGGAGTTTGAGGCCTCAGTGTGGGTTCACGCATCCTCTGGGGCCTTTTCCCTGTCAGGGCCTGCAAAGGGACCCCTTGCCAGCCAGGGAGGGTAAAAGGTATGATCGGTAACGCTTGGTGCTTTGGTACCTGCCTGCCCCTGATCTGCACCATGTGACTTTGAACCTCAGCCATCCAGGAGGCAGGGACAATTCCAGTCTTCATGTTTCAAATGTCTGCACTGACAGACAGAGCCAAGTGTCTCCATCAAGAACATACAGCTAGGAAGTAATCATCTGAACCTAGACAGAAAGGACAGCCGCTGTGTTGTGTTTTTAGTACTGGGGATCTAACTCTAGGCCTTGCACTTGCAAGGCAGGTGGTGGCACCACTGAGCTAAATCCCTGGCCCTTTGTTTTTTTTTTTTTTTTAGACAGGGTCTCCCTATGTAGTCCAGGCTGGCCTCAAACTCATGGCAATCTCCCTGCCTCAGCCTCCTGAGGGCTGGCCAGCTATCCTCTTAACCCTTATGGTATGCTGTTTCCCACCCCCCGTTTTTTTTTTTGGTACTGGGGATTGAACTCGGGTCCTTATGCTTGCGAGGCAGGTGGTGGAACCTCTGAGCTAAATCCCCGGCCCTCCCCGTCCCTTTGCTGTAGCCTTGTTCTCAGTCACTTTTATTCCTTTTTGGACAGGCTGCCTTTGAGGGCTGTGAGCAGTCACTAACACCTCAGTACGAGTTAGCCAATCTGCTCACACCACTAAAAATAAGCCCTGCTTTGGTGCGCCCATCTTGTGGGAGTTAAATAGTTGGGCTCTGTAGTCATGACATCCGGGACTGAAGCCCAGCACCGCCCTTTCCCAGCTGTGTGACTTCAGGCAGGCACATCACCGAACTGGACCTCCGTTTCCTCATCTGTGAAGTTCCATTTTCCGGAAGCCCAGTGCACCGCGCTTCAGGACTGGGCTCAACCTTCCAAGCAAGGAGGAACCAAAACCAGGTTCTGGGACGGGGAAGTAGTGTTTCCTGGCCCACGCCGGGGTTTAGGACGCGGCCCCTGTGATGGGAGGCAACAAGTGGACTCGCTCTGCACAGGGATGCCGGCCGGCTCTGCAGGCCGCCCCTCACTCTCCTTTCCTGCCCAGCTCGGGCGCCTGGGCACTTGAGTAGACAGACAGACAGCCCCTTTCTCCCGACGGCACGCTGGGGTCTGGGCACCACCGGCCTGCTGTTAGAAAGTGTTAAGCAGCCACTATCCTGCTGAGCTGAGCCCAGCTCTCCTCAAGGTCGCCCAGCACGGACACATTATTCAACTCTTGGCACTCCAGACCTCCTAACCCAGCTCGGGGGTGCTGTCCACGTCCATCCTAATGGGGGAACCGGACCCAAATGCCAAAGCATCCTCCAGAGCCACACCTCACGGCTTCCTGAAGGAGGCCTCCCACATTGTTCACCACCCCAGAGGGAAGGGCTCCTGGCACCTCCCAGGTCCCTTGTGCCGTCAGCACACCTGGCCAAGTCCTCCGGTGACCCCTTCTCCGCCAGAGTGCCGGCTCTAAAGTGCTCCTTTCTGCTCCCGTTCGTGGCCTCAATTCCAACAGCCACGCCAAGGACACGATGGCAGCCTGATCACTTCATGTCTGCAGTGTTGTGGAGGCCTGGGCCACACGGGATGGCGTGCACTGCACTGCGTCCAGCCCAAGGAGGCTGCTGCCTACAAGGTCCTGCTGGCGGCAGCTGGACCCAGCCGGGGGAGGGGGACAGGATGTGAGTCCCACCCGAGGTGGCCGCCTCGGGGTCAGCAGGGCAGTTCTCACGCTCCTGCTGGCAGAAGTGCAGGAGGAGGAGGAGGGGTTCTCCATCTGCTGGAAATGCAGGAGGAGAGGGAGGCTGGGGGCTGAGGGCCCAGGTGACCGTGGACAGGAAAACTAGGCACGCAGGTCACTGTTACAGATCATTAAATACAACACATACACAGGCCAGGGCTGGGGAGAGCCAAGGGTCACAGCGGTCAGAGGCGCCATCCCACCCGGTCCTATCGGGGGCTCAGGCTGTCGTCGTCGGAGGGGCTGGGCTGGTGGAGGCCTGGCTGCTTGTGGAGGCCCCGAAGTTTGGCCAGCAGCTCCTGGACGAAGTCCTGAAGACAGGGTGGGTGCTGAGGACAGGGAAGGGGTCCCCCAAGTCCCTCTGGCCCCCTTACTGCTGCCTAGGGATCACGGAGCAAAGTGGGGTTAGGGAAGGATTGGGGGAGAACAAGAGAGCAAAGTGGAAAAAGGGAGAGAGATGGTGACTGGGTGTGGGGACACATGCTGGTGTCCCCAGTGCTCAGAGAGGCGGAAGCAGGAAGACTGTCTAGACTTTGAGGCCAGCCGGGGCTACATAGTGAGTTCAAGACCTTGGGCCGGGGATTTAGCTCGGTGGTGCTGCGCCTGCTTTGCAAGAGCAAGGTCCTGAATTCAATCCCCAGTACCAAAAAAAAAAAAGACCAGCCTGAACTACATAGGGAGACCTTGTCTCAAAAAACCTAAAAAAAAAAGAGAGAGAGAGAGAGCCAAACGGAGACACACAGAGAGACACAGGGAGACACAGAGCACAGAAGATGCTTCTCAAGCCGAGAGGGCCAGGAGGGTCTCCCGAGACAGAGGCCCTGAGACCTCTCCAGGGCAAACTGACACAGTGACGTCTGTCCCTCAGGCAGCCCACAGCTCTCAGAGAAACATGAATATTTTTCCCTTTTAAAGCAGGGAAGGAAGTGGGAGGGGTTGGGTGGCCCAGCTTCAGAGCTGGAGGATGGGGCCCCCAAGAGGTGGGGCATGGAGCCCAGCAGTGGAGGCAGCGATAGGAGGGGAGAGGGACAGAAAGGGGCAGCCGAAGGACAGCGCAGGAGAGGCAGACGCAGGAACAGATGGAAGGGCTCGGAGGGAGCTCATCATGGAGCCCCTGCAGCAGATGGGGA